AGTCTCTATGTCCCCAAGAAAGCAAAAGCAGAAGTTGCTGGACCTTCTTGAGGCTTAGGCCTAGAATAGGCACAGAATGACCCATTCTGCTGAAAGAATCATAAAGTCAGACAGATCCAACTGCAAAAGTGTGTGAATAACCAGAGCTATATTTGTGTGCCACAGACTTGCACAGCCGCAACCAGCCATAGCCATATGGATAAATCTTAGGTACGTTATGCTGCAGGAGCAAACAAGCATCACATTTCAGTGATTCCATATAACAATGGATTGTGTCTTCCTCACATACATATCTTTAAAAATATGTATGTATGTATTTGGCTGCATCGGGTCTTAGTTGCTGCACGTGGAATCTTCATTGTGTCATGTGGGCTCTTTCACTGAGACGCAGGTACTCTCTAGTTCTGGTGCACGGGCTTAGTTGTTCCACGGTGCGTGGGATCTTAGTTCCCTGACCAGGGATCAGCCCACACCCCTTGCATGGCAAGGTGGATTCTTAACTACCGGACCACCAGGAAAGTCCAGTCACATACATATCTTACACAAGCCAGTGGAGTGCTTGGCCCCACACAGCCAGCCACTTAGGAACTTAGGCTGATGGAGGATCTACCATACTGAGATGGCACCATCTGGGACATGAGACCTCACTTTTGCCACAGCCATGGAGGACAGAAAGGTTGGAAAATTTCACTTGACCTCAGCTCTAAAGATACACATGTCACTTAGGTTCACATCTCATTGGCTAGAACTAGTCACATTACCCTGCCTAAATTACAATTTTTCCATAGAAAAATGGAAGAGCATTACTATTCCAGTCACATGTAATAAAATTATTGAAAACAAAGGACAGTTCAACATAAAATTCAAGAAAGTGTTTACTTTGGGGGGGGGGTGGAGAGCACAGGAGAGGAAGTCACAGGAAGGTATTAATAGCAGTTTACAATACTCTAATCCATGAGTTGAGCAGTGAGTATTGATTATACTATTTTTAATGAATAAATGAGTAAATAGATGAATGAAATAAAAGAGAGGGTTCAGAAGCTGTGGCACTGAAGCATAACCTCAGAGTGCAGGCCAAAAATAGCTCTTCCATAAATATTCACTGCGCTGTGGTTGAGGCGGCCAGGCCTTGAGGGTACAAAGATGAATAAAATGTAGGCTCATCCCCTCTAGATTCCCAGCTCAGAGGATGTAGTAGGCACATGAACCAGACAAACCAGCAAAGCACAGTGGAGTGGACTACTTACCAGGAACTTTGGGAGCCAGAGAAAGAAAGTCTTACCCCAAGGGGTCATGTAGGTTGGGTCATGAAGGATCAATAGGAGTTCAATAGGTGGAGAAAGAAGTGGAGGTGGGGCATATTGGTCAGGGACACTCATTCCAGGAAGAGTGAACAATATGTACAAAGGTACTTCATTCCTCAAGTGGCCTGTGTTCACAGCATTTCCTCACCACCTTCTAGTCCCTAAATGATCTGATCAACTCATTCATACTGTGCTATGCCACCCAGAACCCTCTGCAGGACTTGCACATTCAATATTCCCACTGATTTCTATGTGCCAGGCACTATGCTAAGCATTTTGCTTATATGATTTTATTTAATGAAGAGCAGAACTTAATGGCAAAGAAATTAATTTCTAATGGTAAAATTTCAGACTTAGATAAGATGAAATCTTTAGCTTAGGGAAGCTGGAAGTATTTGTGTGGCATGAATTCTGTCACACATTCCTCTGCCTCACCGTATGTTCAGTCCTGATGTTTGTACTGGCTGGGTAAAGCCCCTGGAAGGTCAGGAGGTGGGGTAGCAGGAGCTCCCAATCTTATTCTTCCAAAAAAAAAAGCAAGTGGGACTTCTGCTCAATAATATAATAATGTCTCTGTTCTGCCTTTTCTCTGGGGTCTCACTTCTTGGGAGCCTGTGTGGAGGTGAATTCCTCTGAAAGCTCTCTGCCCCTATTAGGGACTCCCCAGGCCTTTTCTGAGAAATAGTGACATTGTTCCTAACACTTCCCCTCCCTTCCTGGGTAGCTCCTGTGGCCACCATTGAGCTTTCCTCACATCCTCCTTCTTCGGGCTAGAGCTTTTCTAACTTTCCTTTCCATCATCACTTCCCTCCTGGATGGGGCTAATCTGAGTCCTCTCATTCCTCAGGCTGAAGCTCTTTACATCTCTAAGCCGTCTGCTTCCTTGGGAGCAGGCCTGGGCATCAGGCTGCAGGCCCGACTAGCATTCAGGCCTTCAGGAACATGTCCTAACATGTTGAGCCCTGGCACAGAAGAAGATGGTGGCTGTTTTGTCCTTGGGGCTGCCTGCTTTTAGACAAGAGTGGGGTTTTAGACAAGAGGAGACCCCGAGAAACCCCAGAGAGACCTTGGTCTGCATTTCTCTGAACAAAATATGTGATTTACCGCAGACCCCTTGGGACTGGTCTGGGATCTACTGTGTACCTGCATGCCTCTGTGTGTGTGTGTGTGTGTGTGTGTGTGTGTGTATATATTTTGGGACTTGGATCTTGAGTGTGGGTTTTATCAACCTGCTTCTTTGCCTCTTTAGGGCAGAAGCCCTCTCTTAAGAGCAAACCTGGCTACACATTCAAGTGAATGCTTGGAAACTTTTTTTTTTTAAGTGCTGGGCAGTACTGAACACCAGTAGGTGCTTAATATTTGTTGAGTTCTGTTGTGGTGGTGGTGGTGAGTTAAAAATTATTAAAAAAAAAAATCACTTCCCAAAAAAACAACAAAAAATTATTTCATTGTGAAGCTCAGGACTGTAAAACTTTAACTAATTCAATACAAGCAGCCATTAAATTTTTTTCCCCAAAGTAAACAGATAGACAATGTCAAGTCTATTTACAATGTCTGAAAGGCAAGGGGATTCGAGACAGTAGGAGGATATGCCCGTCCTGTGCTGGACATTTGACAGCCCAACCTTTGGGTGGTGTGGGTACGGGTGTGTTGGAGGTAGGGAGGGTGGAACTGGGAGAGGAGAGGGCTGGTTCTGGCGTTTTGGCCTGTTTGAGGTTCTTCCACCTACAATTCTGGCCTGTCTCCAATATCAGGCAGGCAAGGGGGTCTGGTAAAGGGTCCTCCCACCCCTCCCCGGGCTCCTGTCCCAGCAGTAGAGGAGAAGCAGGACTGTCCTCCCTGAGGTCAGCTGCTTTGGGGGAAGAAGACTGGGCATGTCTGGGCAGAGATTTCCAGACGCCGAACAGCCCTAGATGTCAGTAATTGGAGCTGCTTTCAGCCTGCATTCTATGTTTTAGTTGATTTCTGTTCAGATTAACACTCTGTTGTCTGCAATTTTCTTACAAGCAGAAATAAAAAATGTTTCAGATGAAGGAAGGAAGCAAAGGTGGGGTACAAGTGGGGATGGGGAGCAGCAGGGCACCTCACTTGCTTTTGCCTCTTTTGGAAGCACTGGTTGGCCTTTCTGGAATTGCCTTCATCAGTGTCATTTCAGTGTATTGCCTGGAAATTATGGGTGCTGGGCATGTCTTGCATTCTAAAGCTGCTGAAACAGAGAGGGCAATAAGCAGAGAGCTCTGGATGAGAAGCAAAAGGTCTGTGTTCTAACCATCGCCATTGATGTGCTGTATACCCTGAGTCAGGCCTCTGAGCTCTGAGCCTCCGTTTCCAGCAGTGTATGTGGTGGGTGGGGATTACCCCCCAATCCTTCGCCCCTCCCCAGCCCGCAAATCCACAGCAATCACAGAGCTTTCTTCTGCTAAGGTGGGATGGGAGGTGGATATAGGCAGTGAGGAGGAGGCGGTGGGAAGCTTATCTCAGTGTCCCGGTTCCCCTGGAGACCAGGTTAGCCCTTTCTTAGCAGGGTCCCCAATTCCGTCCTTCCCTGGAGCATTTGACAAATAACGTCTCACCCCTTTAGTTCTGTGGGCTTCGGTCGGTTTCCTCTTCTGTGAAATACGGGGAATTGAATCCTCTTCTGTGAAATAAAGGAATTGAATCCATTCTGGCCTCCAAGAATGCTTTGTTGGGGTCTCTGGGTACCTCCGGTGATGGTGAGAAGTGGTGTAGTGAGGGACCCATGGTGGTAAAGTGGGGCTTTTCTGGGAATTACAAAGTGAAGTGTTCTTAAAAATTATTTAAGTATTTTTTTTTTCTTTATTAATGTCACTCTTCGTGGTTTATTCAGCTGCTCCGGGCAAATCCTTGCCCAGAGTCAGTCGGTGGTGGGTCAGAGCGCGGGGGGGGGGGCAGTCCGTCGGGTCCCAATAGCGCCGCCGTCCCGTCGATGGGAGGGCCAAGTCGCCCTCCCCACCCCCACCCCCCGCACTGGGGGAAAAAACCCAAACAGAATTGGGACTCAGTTCGTGCGGAAATATGTCAAGTGCACAAAGCCAGGCGCGGAGAGTGGGAAGGAGGGAAGCGCCCTCCTGCAGCCAGTGAGGTTGGCAGCGGACTCACCAGGGAGCCGCCGGGGGAGAAGCGCTGCTGTGGGCGGAGCGGCCGGTCCCGCCTCCGCCCTCTTTATAAGCCCGGCGCCCGGCGCCCGGCGGCGCCAGCTGAGGTGTGAGCAGCGGCTGGAGGCTGTGCTTGGGAGACCCGGCGCTGCGCGCTGATTCACGGAGACGTCCTGAGAGCCCCAGAAGAGGTGAGGGAGCTGGGGCGGGCCAGAGCGGATCCCGAACTGAGGCTCCCTAGCCGAGCCAAGCGAGTCCGCGTGTTTGTCCGTGCCCCTCGGGGGTGTGTGTCCGTGTGTGTCCGCGGGGGCTCGTGTGTCCTGTGTTCACAGGTGAATGGCGCGCGGGGCCCTGCGCGCGGGTCTCGGTTTGGGGCACACCAAGGGCTGCGAGTGCGCCTGTGGGCACAGGGCCCGGGATGCGTCGGAGGCTCCGGGCGCCGAAAAGGCGCCCAAGTACCAGGGATCTCCCCTCTGCGATCCCTCCCCTGGAAACTCCGTTGGGGCGAGGGAAGGCGTGGACCCAGCCGAGGGTGCGCCCGGGGCCCCAGGCTAGGCGCGCTCGCTGCGTGGGGACGAAGCCTGTTTCGCGCAGGGCTCCGGGAGGGGCGGGGAAAGCCAAGTCGAACAGGTTCATTTGGGATCCATTCCCGAGCGGTTCTCAGATCCGATCGGTGCCGTCCCCGGCCCAGAACCGAGGTCGGAGTCCCCAGTGCTGCTGAGGTCAGCGCCGGCTGTGTCCTGGGCCCTTGGGAACATGTCGGGACACGTTCCTTAAAAGAAAGCTGGGAGGTGACTCACGGTGACAAGAAGACCCCGGGGAACAAGACGGGTGACATCAGAACAACTCCAGGACTGGGAGACTGTGGCTCCGCCAGAAGTCCCTTCCCTGCCTCTCTCCACGGTCTCTGTCCCCCCACGCCGCCACCATCAGCACAGTGACCTATTTGGCTGGCACAGAGTGTTCCCAGGGAAACCGAGACACCAGGAGGTCCTAGACCGGGTGTCCGGTCCCCGCCCCGAGGCGCGTCCTCTGGGACCCGGAGCCTCGGCCGGGCGCTGGGTGGGCTTGCGCCAGCCTGTCAGTTAGGGAAGCCCCGAAGCCGAACCTACCTCTCTCCCACCGCCGCCGGGAGAACCCCGGCTCAGCCTGCCCTTGGGTCGGCCGGACGTACTCGAGGTCCGGAGCCGAGCTCTGCCCTGCGGCGTGGTGGGGGCACTCAGCCCCCGACGGGGGCGGTGGGGGAAGGGAAGGAGAGGTCCTGTGTTTGAGGGATGGGGCTTCGGGGTGTGTCGCTGCTCCGGGCCTCCGTCACCTGCTTTCGGGCGCTCCAGGCGGCCCCAATCCGGTCCGAATTTCCCTCTCCAAGGGCGACAGGGCTGAGCAGAGCAGGAGGGCGATTCGCCCTCCGGACGCCACCGTCCAGCGTGGATTGTAGTGCGTCTGCCTGGTCTGGGGCCCTCGGGAGACACTTGCGCTCTCCCCGTAAGGGACAAGAATCGTAGAACTGGGCTTGGTACTTTAGGGCGCCCGGGCAGCTCCCTCCCTCCTTCCCCTTCCTCCACGTTGCGTTTCGGGGAGGACTTAAGAGCGGTTTTGTTTTCGTTGCTCCCGTCTATTTTTATTTTTCAGGGATCTGACTCATCCCTTGCTTTGGGCGTGGAGATAAGGTGGAGGGACCAGATCTCGGCGCGCCTGTGCGTGCATGCTGTGTGTGTGCGTGCGTGTGTGTGTGTGCGTGTGTGTGTGTGTGTGTACGCGCGTGCGCGCGTGTGTTTCACAAGAGGCGGCGCGAGAGCGCGCTGTTTCCCAATAGTGGCGGGCGTTTCGGAAGGCTGACTGGCTCAGCGTGACGTGTTCGCGGCCCCCGAGCCCCCTCCCACTCCCCCTCCCCACCCCGGGGTGACGTGCAGCGGGAGTGGAAGCGAAGTTTTGGCGGGCGGGGAGCGCTTTGCGGGAAACTGACTCATCACAGCTGGCTGCCGGCCTCCCAGGCTCTGCCGCGCAGCGCCCCCTCCGCGCGTGATTTCCTGGAGACCGGCGCCCTCTTCTGGCCATATCGCTAATCGCTAACCCGCCTTCCCGCGGAATGAGGCTTCACCGGCCTTTGCTTCCCAATGCAATTTACTCTAGTACTGATGCTGAGGTCTTTGCCCACTCCTCTCTTAAAAGGAGTGCCCCCACTGGATCTGCAGTGTTTACTGAGTGCTTACTGTTTATTTGGGAATGAAAATATGGCTGAAGTCCAAGGCCTGATAAAACCCTAGCAGGGTTCCTCCTCTTGCCAATGAAGCCCTGAGATCTGTAGTGTCTATTCAAGCCATTCTGTGTGTCCCCTCTTGGCTGGCACCCCAAGCTTGCCCATCTGGAGAACTGTCAAGCCCTTGAATTTAATCGATCTGGGGAAGAAGGGGCCTGTCAAATCTACATTTTGAAAAAGCTCCTCAAGTGGTTCTGATGGGTCTCTCTGGTGAAGAAACCTCAAAATTAGAGAGGGAGTAGGGTTCAATACCAGAATGCAGAACCCAGGGCATTCAGGGCTGGGTTCAAATCCTGGCTGTGCCATTGGTGAGCTGTGTGACCTTGGGAAAATTACTTAACTTCTCTGAGCCTTGGTTACCTCTTCTGTAAAAGAGTGATATATCCATTTCTTTTGAAAATTAATATCCATAAACTTTTTTTACAACAGCCTTTGGCACATTAAAATATATAAATAAATCTCAATCCTTAGCCCTGAAGAGAGTGAGCAAAGGTTATTTGTGGGCTTTGTCCACTGGGCTATGTAACCCCTTTCTATGTGGCAGCTTGAATAGACACTATTGATCTGTTTAACCCTGTGGGTTCGGGGCAAGTCTTAAAACTCCTGCCCTTTAAATGTGGTTTGAGGTCATCTGGTGCCTCCCCTGCCCTGTCTGCTGAGGCTTGGAGTTGTGGACTTGACTCACTGTGAGACGTGGAGTGGGGACAGGTAGATGTGGTGTGGATTGAGGGCTTCCTGCCCCAGGAGGACACTCAGCAGGGCTTTCACCCTCAGAGCGTGCAGATCAGGACTTGTCCCCAGGAAAACCCAGTCCCTGTTAAAGTCGTGCAGGCGCTCAGTCCTGGAGTCAAGCAGGGCGGGGAGGTGCCAGCACCCCGTCACGGGCAAGCTCACCCTCAGTTTTCCCTCTCTTAAAGTGGGAGGTGAGGAACCAGGTAGACCGGTGCCTTTAATTTTCTTTGCCTGCAAAACGGGTTCCTTGGATGCAGGCAGAATGGGGCAGGGGCTTCCAGATTGTCTAGACTTCAGGTCACCTGATGTGCCTGGCAGGATGTGGCTCAGCCTGGGAGAAATCATTGCTCCGCCCTGCCCTGCCTAGCTCCTCCTTACCCCCAGGCGCCTGCCTGATGACATCCTTGGGAAAGGCCCTCAGCCACAACACCTGTCAGCTGCTGTCTGAAGGAGGCGGTGGCCCAGGTGGAGTGATGGGGAGGAGTCAGCCAGAACTAAAGGCGGACCGAAATATTTTCCAAACACTTTCTCTATACTTGGTACTGCTCTGAGGGCGTTACCTACAACCACTTAGCTAATCCTCACATCTGTCCTCTGAGATACTCGCTATGGTTATCTCCTTCTAGAACTGACCTACAACGCAGGAGACCTAGGTTTGATCCCTGGGTCGGGAAGATCTCCTGGAGAAGGAAATGGCAACCCACTCCAGTACTCTTGCCTGGAAAATCCTATGGACAGAGGAGCCTGGTAGGCTCCCGTCCATGGGGTCACAAAGAGTTGGACACGACTGAGTGACTTCACTTTCTAGAACTGACACCAAAAATAGATGTCCCTTTCATCATAGGGGACTGGAATGTAAAAGTAGGAAGTCAGGAGATACCTGGAGTTACAGGCAAATTTGACCTTGGAGTACAAAGTGAAGCAGGGCAAAGGCTAACAGAGTTTTTCCAAGGGAATGCACTAGTCATAGCAAACACCCTCATCCAACATACACAAGAGACAACTCTACACATGGACATCTCCATCTTATAGGTGAGGAAAACAGAACCCAGAGAAGTTAAGCTACTTGTCGAAGGTTGCCCAGCAGAGCCTGGATTCCAACCCAAGTGGCCTGGTTCCAGAGCCCTCACCTTTAACCACCAAGACACAGCTGTTCAACTCTGCTCCATCCGCCTTGCCTGGCGGGGCCCACCAATCATTTCCTTGAGCCTGCATCTACAGCCCTGCTCTTTAGACACGTATGCAGTCCCATTTTACAGATGAAGAAACGGAGGCCGGGGGACTTGAAATGACTCTTTGAAAGTTGAGATAGGAAGTGGCAGAGCAAGGACTAGAACCCAGGTGCTTTTTAACTCCAAAGTCCAGGGTAGTTTTAAGTAACTGAGCAGGATTATTCCACACGAGCTTCTAGATGGAGGGATTTGAGAGGCTTGAGGAGGTGTCCATTTACTTGGGGATTGACCTCCCCAGCCGGGCCTGGAGTTAGGAAACTACTGGACTCTGACAATTCACACATACCTGGGGCATTCACACCCACGAGGGACACCTCAGGGGGGAAAAACAAATTGATTTTAGCTGATAACACCTGGTGGTAAACAGGACCCTGATCCCTGCTATTGCAATAAACTTGCCTTTGTTGACATAAACTTGCCCTTCAGCTGCCCACTCCCCCAGTGACCTGGGGGTGTCAGGCGGACTGACTCTGCCCCTCACGCCCTCTCTGTGGGAGGAAGGTGGGGGAACTCAGCCGGAGGGAACCCGAGAGCCCCTCTCACCTCACTTTCCAGTGAGGAGGCCGCGCCTGAGGTTACGCAGTAGCGAGGCCCGGAGAGGGAGCGAATGACTTCCCGAGGGCCTCACTTACATGCCCCGGGGTCTCCCTTGTGTTCCAGCCACAGGTGCCATGTCCGAGCCGTCCAGGGACGCGCATCAAATCCCCCGCAGCAGCAAGGCCTGCCGCTGCCTCTTTGGTCCAGTGGACAGCGAGCAGCTGCGCCAGGACTGCGATGCCCTCATGGCCAGCTGCGTGCAGGAGGCCCGAGAGCGGTGGAACTTCGACTTTGTCACCGAGACGCCGCTGGAGGGGGACTTCGCCTGGGAGCGCGTGAGGGGCCTCGGCCTGCCCAAGCTCTACCTGCCCGTGGGGCCCCGAGACGACCTGGGAGGGGGCAAGCGGCCGAGCCCCTCGTCCGCCCTGCTGCAGGGCACGTCTCAGGAGGACCACTTGGACCTGTCGCTGTCCTGCACTCTCGTGACTCGCTCCCCTGAGCGGCCCGAGGGGACCCCCGGTGGGCCTGGCCCGTCCCAGGGCCGGAAACGGCGGCAGACCAGCATGACAGGTGAGGACTCCCAGAACTCACGGTGCCAGGGCTCACCTGTCTGGCCCCGCTTGCCCATCACTCTTAGGGGGGAAACAGGCCCAGAGAGGGGAAGTGGCTTGCCTGAGGTCACACAGCAAGTCTACTACCAAGACCAATTAGCTGACATTTATTTAGAACATTGACTATGTGCCAGGCCCTTTGATAAGTGTCTAGATTTCTTTTAGTTCTTATAGTGATCTAATACCATAGGACATTCTTGGCATCCTTTTACAGGCAAAGAAACAGGACTCAGAGAGGTAGAATGATTTGCCTAAGGTCCCACACTGAATTTGGCATGGAGAGAAAATGAATGATCATTTCCTGGCTGCCTTAACCAAACTTAACTCGCCTTCCCCTTCATATATACACACCTTCATCCGCACTTCCCAGCCTATTTTTCTCTTTTTGGCACTTTTTAAACTATCAACAGTTACTTCCATATTTTGATATGGTCCATCTCCCCAAATAGGATCCTATCTCCACAAGAAAGAAATCTGTATCTCTCTTGTTCATAACTGAATCCTCAGCACCTTGGATGGTGTGTGACACACAGCAGGTGCTTGAGGAAAATGGAATAAGTGAGGCTGGCAGTTGAACACTAACTATGCCAGGCCTTCGGCCAATGTCTTTTTATTTTTTACTTTACAAATGTAATACTGTTATTATTTTGGCTGTATGGCTTGTGGGACCTTAATTCCCTAAGCAGGGATAGAACCTGGGCCACCTCCATTGAGAGCAAGGAGTCTTAGCCACTGGACCATCAGGGAAGTCCCAACCAAGGTCTTTCTGGAAGCATTTCATTTAATCCTCCGAGCACTGTACCAGTGTTATCCTCATTTTATAGGTGAGGAAACGGAAGCTTGGAGCAGTACAGCCAAGAATCCCACAGCAAATTTGCAGCTGGGTCAAAACTAACAATAATGGTAATAATAATAACTAACCTTTATATGGCTCAGGCATCATTCAGAACACTTTTCCTGGATCAAATAATGAAATCTCCAGAGCAGTGCTCTCTGACAGATCAGGCTCTACAAAGAAGCAGTTGCTCAGTACCACTGGCCACATATCGCTGCTGAGTGCTTGCCATGAGGGACTGAATTTTTCTTTTAGTTTACTGTTAGTTAATTTAAACAGCCACCTAGGGTTAGCGGCCATTGCATTTGGGCAGCTTGGCTTAAAGCGGGCCCATGGATGGAAGGCCTGTTATTGATCACATCTGTGAAGCATGGGGGGATGTTCTGTATGTATGTAGCCCTCTGGGAGATGGGCTAGAAGTTTCCAGAGTTCTTCCCTGCCTTGGGGAGGGTCCCTCTGCAGTTTGCACTGGGCGGGTGGCCCTGCTGGGCCCTCTTCCTCCTGGCCTGGCTGATGTCTATTCTCTCCCCCCAGATTTCTACCACTCCAAACGCAGGCTGATCTGCTCCAAGAGGAAGCCCTAACGCCGCTGCCAGAAGCACGTCCTCGTGGAAACAAGGGGGCCACTGCGGGCCTCTTCTGTACCTTTTGCCTGGGTCCTCCAGTTTGTGCGTCTTAATTATTATTTGTGTTTTAATTTAAACGCCTCCTCATGTACATACCCTGCTTACTGTCACCCTTCCCACGCCCCCAGCCTCTGGCATTAGAATTATTTAAAAAAAAAATTAGCAGAAAAAATAGGCTTATTAGAGTGCTAGGTATTTTTATTATATGAACCGTTATTTAAACCCTCTTCATCCTTTGCTTTCCTCGTCCTTGCTCCTCTGAGGCTGACGTGACCCCCATTCTCTGGGTGGCACTCTCTGGAGGGGCCTGGCTCTCTCCCCCGCTGCCATCTGATGGGTGTTATGAAGTCCGCCCCCCCCCCCCCCCCCCCCCCNCCCCCCGGCTCCTTTCCTGCATTCTCAGTCCTGAATTCCTTATAATCTGAGAAGTAAATAGATAGCACTTTGAAGGGGGCCCAACAGAGTTGGAGGCATCATCAAAACTTTGGGTTCCCCTTGCCCCCTCTAAGGTTGGGCAGGGTGATCCTTAAGTGGGCACAGCCTGGAAATGGGGCTGGGGGATTGGACACCCTCCTGGCCCTTGATTCCCACCTCTGTCTTGTGAAGGTGTGGGGAAGGTAGGGGCCCGTAGCAAACCACCCCCACCTCGCCACTCCCCCCACCCCCATCTTCAGGGGAGCTAGTCTCATATTTGGCTTCCCTGTTTCCTGCATTTTTCCAGGAGCCCCAGAGGCCCCTCTTCCCCAGCTGGGCTCTCAGTCCCTCTCTGCTCCTCTCCCTTCCTTCATGCCCTTTCCCTTTAGTATCTTCTCGGCCCTGGGTGGCAGCTCTGGGGGGGCCCCTAACCCCCAACTCAGTGGACTGGAAGGGGAAGGGACATGCTAGGCATAGGGTTCCCCAGTTCTACCTCAAGCAGCGACTGCCCCCTCCTCTTAGCTCTTGGGGTGGGGGTCCTGGGTGGTCAGACAGGCCTCCTTGAATGGGGATCTCTCTGTGTTAGGGGTAGGTGGGTGAGGAGCAGATTTTTCCAGGAGGGACAGTGTGACACCAGCCCCTGGAACTTGGCCAAGGACTTTTTCCATTGGCCCCACCCCTTCCCCCATTTCATTGCACTTTGAATAACAGCTGAAGGAGTCAGATGGCGGGAGCAGAGGCTGTGGATAGGATGAGCTAAGTGGGCAAATGTGGGTCTGGGAGCTGTGAGTCTTTGTCTTTCCTGGCACTGAGCCACGTGGTGGGTCTGACCCCAGACACCTCCCGGCTCCTGTGACATCCTGGCCTGGACTGTTTTCTCCTGGTTCCCAGATGGCCTGTCTCTTCCGTCTCCACCTCGACTGTAAACCTCTCACGGGCAGGGAATACATCCTGTACTGCTCTGTGCCCTTCAGAGCCCCTCCCACAGTGCTGAGTATACAGCAGGTGCTCAATAAATATTTCTGATGACTTTACTCGTAATATTAGTGTTGTGGTCAATATACCTTATTTATAAGAACAAGTTGGTGGAGGTTTTTTTTAATTAAATAAGCACTTAAAAAAAAAAAAAAGCAAAACAGTTGAGCAAAAGAAAGACCAAGACCACAAATCAAAAAGCAGACAATAACAAAACAAGAAGTCATCACACCTCTGCAGGTTGCCACGGTCAGTATTTTGGGTTCTTGTATGTGGTTTTTTTAAAAGTAAAGAATATATTGTGACTCATCAGAAAAAATGCAAATTAAAATCACAGTAAGATACCAGTACACATCTATCAGAATGACTAACATGAAAAAGACTGACAATGCCAAATGTTGGTGAGGATACAGAGCAACTGGAACTCATACCTCCTGGTGGAAGTATGAACTATTTCATCTCCTTTGGAATAACTCTGGGTAATATCTTCTCAAGATGCCTCCCCTCAAGCCTACCTGATGACTAGGAATTCCATTCTTAGGTTTGTTCTCAAGAGAAATAAATAAACATTTTTTTTTCCATTTATTTTTATTAGTTGGAGGCTAATTACTTTATATCATTGCAGTGGTTTTTGTCATACATTGAAATAAATACACATTTGTATATTTTTATAGCAGTATTATTCACAACAGAGCCTAACCAGAAACAACCTAATGTCCAGAACATGAGAACAGATACATAAACTGGTATCTGTATATAGTGGAATCCTATATGACATTAAAAAGAACAAATACTCTTACATGAATCTTCTGGTTATTTATATTTATCAACCCTAAGCCTTAGTAGCTTAAAACAATAGTCATTTCTTTGTTCTGGATCCTGCAGTTTAGCCAAGAACTACTTTTCACATGCTGAATAATCCTCTGTTAGATGGATCATGTCTTTGCTCCAGAACCCTACGGGTCTGAGAGGAGGCTCTGCCCTTGGGGCTTTTGGAGACTTTACACTGTTTGCTTATCTCCCATGGATATTTCTAGTATTATGGGATATGCTGGGTCACACGTCCCAAGTGTTTTCCCCATAGTGAGGACCTAATGCAGAGCCTCTTTAGCTCTGGACTCCACTTAAACAATAAACTCATCCAATACATGATCTGGAGCAGTAATCAGTATACTGCCTCCAAAGTCTCTATTGGCCACCAGCAATATGCCTCTTTTTAGTGGTAGGATGTCCACGGTATGATAATTTGTCCTTTAACCATGTAAGGAGCCTAGACAGTGTATTAAAAAGCAGAGACATCACTTGGCCGACAAAGGTTGGTCTAGTCAAAGCTGTTTTTTCCGGTAGTCATGCACAGATGTGAGAGTTGGACCATAAAGAAAGCTGAGTGCCAAAGAACTGATGCTTTTGAATCGTGTTGGAGAAGACTCTTGAGAGTCCCTTGGACAGCAAGGAGATCAAACCAGTCAATCCTAAAGAAAATCAATCCTGAATATTCATTCAGAAGGACTGATGCTGAAGCTTAAGCTCCAATCCTTTGGCCACCTGATGTGAAGAACTGACTCACTGGAAAAGACTTGATGCTGGGAAAGATTGAAGGTAGGAGGAGAAGGGGACGACAGAGGATGCAATGGTTGGATGGCATCACCAACTCAATGGACATGAGTTTGAGCAAACTCTGGGAGATAGTGTAGGACAGGGAAGCTGGCGTGCTGGTTTATGGGGTCACAGACTCGGAGATGACTTAGTGACTAAATGACAACCATAGAGGGAATGTCCCGGCATGCCTCAGCTCAGCTGGCATTTAAATCTTAACTAATATGATAGATTCCTGAATTTCTGTGGGGAACGTGGGCATGACTTTTGATCTGCTTTCCTGGCATGGATTGGAAAGAATGCATTGGCCATGTTATTAGCTTCTTACAATCAGAGCTATGGAGACTATTCTAGTAAATATACCATACTTTATGATATAATGGCTACAACTAGGGCTGTTGTGTGACCATTATCAATCACTGTGCTTCGTTTGTTTTTTTGTAGGAGCAGGTGGGGGTGGATTGGGAAGCACTGTGTCCTTTAAGTTTCTGAGCATAGGATTAACCTTTGCAATTCTACCAGGGATGTGGTACTGCTTCTGACTTGCCATCTTGACCAGTGGGATAACTGAAGACACTTCTACTCAGTCCTTTCCCTAATGGCTTTTGTTTCGTCGGTTTCACCAATCTGAGTGTTCTGCTACTTGCTGAGTACATCCATCCCAATTTGCATTCAGGGGCTGGGAAGTAGCCACAGACTCATTGGAACCCATTGGACTCCAAGAGGGAACAGCGCCACGTGACTTACGGGAGCTTAGTTCCCCAACCAGAAATGGGCCCTGGACCCTGGGCTGTGAGAGTACAGAGCCCTAACCACCGGACCACCAGGGACTTCCCCGGGATGTTTACTCTTGAGTCAAGAGAGGGCACAATAAACACTTTGGCTGCCTTGTATTCCTCCTCTCCCGCAGTCCCAGCCCCACACCCCTGAGGTCTCCTCTCATATGTTCGCCCTGTTCCTACCAATACATATCAGTCAGACCTGTAGCATTCTGGCAAGTTATTTCCTCCAGTAGCAGTAACTCTACTTTTTCTACTCAGGCAGTGCTGAGACCTGACCCAATTATTGATCTAAGAGACGAGGCTGGCAAACCCTAGCTCCAGGGACCAGCTGCCCATTTTATATAGAGTTTTACTTCGATATAGACACACCCATTTGCTTGTTGTCTATGGCTGTTGTTGTACTTTAAGCAGCAAAAAAGCAGAAATGAGTAGTTGCGACATACACCATGTAGCCCACAAACCTAAAATATTTGCTCTCTTGCCCTTAAAGCATTTGCTGACTCTTGTCTACAGGCAGAGAGGGGAGGTGGGGTGAATCTTAAAGTGATGGGTGAGTGTTCTCCTCTAGCAGGGGAGGGGCATTCTACAGGCCTGGAGGGCTCAGGGAAGCAGGGAGTGTAAGATTCAACCATCTGAACAGCTCCATTCCAGGACTCAGAGCCCCACTCTTTTCTTACTGGCTGCAGCCATGCATGGTCTCTCTTGTAGCTCTACCACCTTTATACCAAACCCTGGGGCTCATTATCAAAGCTATGGTTATTAGTTGAACTGAGGCTGATTATCAGCATAGTCTGCCCTTGGGCCCCAAGAGATGAGGACCATTTCAAATGCTTAGATGGGGGGTCTCTTGTCTCCCATGGCCTGCCCTGAGTTGAGCCTGTGATTCTGTTTCTTCAAGACTTCCAGGGAAGTGAACAGAAGTCAGTCAGAACCAAGTCCTCATCGTTATCATCTGCGTGTGCTTAGTCATTCAGTCGTGTCCAACTCTTTGCGACCCCATGGACTGCAGTCTGCCAGGCTTCTCTGTTCATGGAGTTCTCCAGGCAAGAGTACTGGAGAGGGTTGCCATGCCTTCCTCCAGGGGATCTTCCCAACCCAGGGATCGAACCCAGTTCTCCCGCATTGCAGGCGGATTCTTTACTGACTGAGCCAGCAGGGATAGCCCTGTATTTTTCTGTACCTCTCCCGGGTCTACCTCCAAATCTGGGTCTTGGTCAGCAGGAGGCTGCAGCCTACAGGGAACTTATCATCTCCCTAGTCACTGCCAGCGTCAGGCCCCGTAGTCATCTCACTGGTGAGGGAGCCATTTTCAGAAGCCTTTCTGCCATTTCTGGTGCCAACTTTCTTAGTTTTTTTTTTTTCCCCCAAAAGCAACCTGAGACATGGGTGTGTATGTAGGTGGTTTCCTTGGGAGGTGGTTCTGGAAGCATGGATAGTGGGGAATGTGGGAAAGGAAAAGAAAGGAAAAAGCCGGTGGAGGGGGAAATTTCCCAGTGGTCCAGTGGCCAAGACTTGGTGCTTCCAATGCTGAGAACCTGGGTTTGAGCCCTGGTCAGGGAACTAGATCTCGCACACTACAACTAAGACCTGGCACAGCCAAATAAATAAATAAATGATTTTTGTACACAAAGGGGGCACTTCCCTGGTGACTCAGGCAGTAAAGAGTCCGCCTGCAATGCGGGGGACCTGGGTTCGATCCCTGGGTTGGGAAGATCCCCTGGAGAAGGGAGCAGCTACCCACTCCCGTATTCTGGCCTGGGGAATTTCATGGACTGTATAGTCCATGGAGTCGCAAAGAGTCGGACACGACTGAAAGATTTTCATTTTCAAGAAAAAAAAAAAAAGCCAATGGAGGTATTGGTGAGCAAGTTCTGCTGTGTGCAGCTGGGAGGTCTGAGGAGACTGTGTGGAGCGTGTCCTAGGTTTGTCTCTCAGGGTACTTGCCTAGGTACCTCTGGGGTACTTAACTATGGATACCAGCCATTGTCAATCGAGGGCAGCCTCCAGGAGCAAGTTCAGGTCGCTCCTTGGGTGGGTGTAGTTTTGGCGATGCCAGAGTAAGCCAGGAGGATGCAAGCATTTGAGGTGAGATGCTCTATCCGCGCCAGGAATTACTTACCAAAACTTCTGGTGAACACAGCCTTGAGGCTGGGGATGCGGGTGGGGGTGTCAGCAGTGGGCAACCCTTCAGCCAGCCTAGTGTCCAGGTGAGCAAGTTGGCACAGGTCACTGCAGCTTTGCCCTTCCCACTGAGCCCACCGAAACACAAGCACCATGAGGGTAGGTCTTTGCTTCTTGTATTCACTGCTGTCTCCCAGCACCTTGAAAGTTCCCAGCACATCATAGGTCCCCGACAAGTATTTGTTAAAATTCACTGGGGCTTGAATTTCCTTGACCTGAACATTTGCCCCAATCCTCAACTTCACCCCCACCCCATCCCAGCTCCCACATCACTGCCCCACATCCCTTGACAATCAGTCTGGCGTGTGAACCAGGCCACCGGCAAATTGCTAGGATGGAGAAGTTGGCAGTTCTGTAACTCAGTCTCACTTTATCAACCACAAAAGTAGCAACAGCTGACATTGATTATCATCTGCCAAACACAGTTCCAAATGCTTTACAAGGTTTATAGCATCAAATCCTTACGACACACCTCCAAGGTGGGCACTATTATTGCCTCTATTTCAC